AATGTTTTATTTTTTTTAAATGTTTGTAGACAAACTCCAACTAGTTCAACAAAACTAATATTTAACTACTTTAGTCAGCTATAAGTAAACTAAGACACAAGATCACCAAATAGGGGTTTAGAAATATTTTTGTTAAACTGCAGGAGGCACAATTAAAAATCCAAAGCTCATTCTCCATCAGTGATTAAAAAGAATATAACTTAATATTAAACACATTCAAAATAAGCTATGAAATACAGCACTGAGTAAACATCTACTTATTCCCTGACACCTGATCCTTACTGTTTTGGATATGGCCCAATCACGACTGCATGTACTGTATTTAGGGAACAAGGGTCCAATCAATGGTGGCTGGATGAAAATCTGAAATCTCGCTGGCTGGTAGGTTGGGTTCAATAGTTCATTTGGGTTTGGGCTTTGAAATGTTCTTGGCCAAAGCAGTCATCTTCAGATGTTAGTCCTTTTAAAGATGTGGCAGACTTATACTGGCAGAAGAGAGTGATCAGTCCACTTAAATTGAGACCAGATAATGAATGCTGTCAACAGTCACTGTGCAACAACTCCATAAGTTTGACTTAAAAGTTCTGCTGTATTTAAGAAGCAGTCACAAAATAGCAAAACTCTGGCAACAAATGGCAAGTCCTTTTTCAGGAGAAAACATTCCCAGCCTCTTGCAGTCCAGATATTTGCTTTAAGCTATCTGAAAAAGTGTCCAAGCAGCAGATGTCTCTTCCAACAGATACACAAAAAATCCAAATGTCCTTCATACCATTCTCCAGGTCATAATCCACAATGCCCACTTTCTTTGATTGTTATGAGATAAAAAATGTCTTTGACAATAATAATAATTAAAAAAAACTTCTTTAAACTTGTTCACAGCAGCCTTGAACTTGGCTTAAGTGAGCAAGCTTCTTTCCTCATGCTCTCGCTGTAGACTTTAAGGGTGTGGGGCTAGATTGGTAAAAATCAGGCTGCAAGATGTGGGCAACGTTGACTAGCCAACCCCCCTTTTAAAACTTCTGGTCCAATTAATAGTTTCTGTCAGCCATATCGGTGAAAATGAGGCAGACTTTGTTGCCAGGGGTGTCCCTCTGTAGTGCAGACCTTGGGGCTTATCTGTGGTCAACTCTGGATTCTTGGGGACAGTGGAACAGGTGCAGCAGTAGCAGTAGTGCCAGAGGTAGTACGCAGGTACCAATAGGGGCAATGGCAGAAGCATGAGCACCTTTATAACAAAGGAATCATTTGGGGTTTAAACATCAGCCACAGTGAGAAAACACCCTTGCTGTTTGTTCCTATGACAGTACCCAAGGTTAACATACTACCAAGTTTGAAAATGGCCCATTAAACCTTCTAATGACCCTTTCTTGTTGTTTAAAAACAAAACAAAAATCTAAATACTTACAGTAAAATGTAACATGTTTAAAAACTACGAATAATTCAAAAAGTGCACTAAAAAAAACCCTAACTATTATGGATGCCTGTGACTAATTGACTAGACGTTTAAACACTGCTGCCAGTTAAATGTATTATTATATTATTACTATACAACAGCAGTTGCCATTTCAAAGATGATGCTGGCCACTCATGTTGCCTGCAGCGCTAACACCAGCTATGCCTCCGTCTCTCTACCCATCTCTGTGGAGGAAAGTAACGAGCGAGGGGGGAAAGTAAACAGATGACAGCCGAGACAGCGGACCATCGCTGTTCTTCAGCACTGTTTAAAAATAAATAAATATCGTTTGTGTCAGAATAAACTGGAACTAAACCCACGAGTAATCACACTGCACTGTGGTGCAGGACATATTGTTATAGTTCATACTATAGTTCATATAGTTCCACAACCACACATGCAATACTTTTTGGGCCAATGTTGAAATTTGTCGATCAATTTGTGTCCAGTTTTTAATATAGTCAGAGTTTTCTGTCTTTTCAAGTAGATGAATAGCTAAGCTTTCTCTCTTGTTTAAACAACTAGTAAATTAGTCACAAGGAACATCCCTGAAAACTGCATCTCCCCTGCAAAGTACTTAATTAATGAAAGCCTTCAGAACTGAAATGATTTGGGATTCTCCAGGTGCCTTACCTCCTCACTGGTTTCTTGAAATTTCTCTGGATCTGCCATGGTAGTCTCCTTCATCTGCCTGCATATTGTTAAAAATAAATACACATCAAAGAAAAGAGGTAAAAAGAAAAAAAAAGATCATCAGTATGAAGAAAGAAAACTCACTCATAAGATATTAAATATTATAAATATTAAATTAATAGCTTAACACAAGCAATCAAAACACTATGTAAATGTTTAACAAAAAACATGTCAAATATAAAGTATTAAAAATATTCCTAGCAATAGGAACAAAAGGATTAAAATCAGAAACTTAATTGATTCCTAAATTAAAACTGATTTAAAATGGATATGCCTTTGTAAATATTGCCAGTAGCTGGGCAGTGCATGCAAAATTAATACTTTAGTCCTTTAAATGTCATTACACTGCCATCATAATTCAAAAATTCACGTTTTCTCAAACACTTGTCAAGGAACCACAACACAGCATAAAAACGCGTTAAAATCTCAGCAAGTGGACCCACTCCAATGTAATGCACAAACAGCAACCAGCAGATGCTAAAATTACTGCGCCTTCACCGCATCACACGTTGGTGACCACATCAAATGCGCTGCTATCGTCCCCCTCTGGGTTAAAGAACTGAGCCGAGAAAAATAAAACAGAAATTAAACGCAGTTACCACACTCCTTATTTAGCCAAGGTGCGCCCGTCCAGATCCGACACGCACTACAGCTACACGGTACCTGACGAATGAGCGTACGCCTCACGTCGTCACACCATCCTCGTGAAAACACACGCGAACAAGTCCACTCATTGCGACTGAAATCAACTTGGGGAACTTCACACCACTGAGACCACGCCGTGCTCGCTCCACACGCAGCACACAGACTGCGACTGCCGTTAAAACGACTGCGTCGCAACAAACCGCTTCTCTTCCCTCCCTGCTGTCTTCCTCTCTCCGAACACTACTCCTCTGTGAATACGTCCATGACCGCAGCGGCTGTCAACCGAAACCTGCAGCGGACAAAGTGTCGCCTGCTGTCTAGCTGAGCCGCGGTGTGGAGAGCCAAAGGCCGGCATAGGCTGCTAAACCCGCCGACTGAGCACAGCCATGTTGCAACGAATAAAGAAAAAAAAAGATCTTGTATTAAAAAAAAGAAAAAGGACCCACATCTTTTCTAGCACGCCGGATTTAAGGTAGTCTCATCAATCGCCTGATGGGAAATTCAATGCCCAGCCTTTTTTCTTACACCGTTTTTATCAGGTCTTCATTATAATGACATCATGGAAGCGTTAAAGTGAACACATCAGTATGTCATTACATAAAACAATGTCCACAGAACTGGCTTTTTTCACGCGCTTTTTCCACAATACGTAAATAGCGATCTGCAAAATAATTACTCCGCTCTTACCATTGAGTTGTTGTTGTTTTTTTTTAAGTTGAAATATTTATGAAATAATGAGATTAAAAAAAGAAGAAGAAAAAGCTTTCAGTCATTTCACTAGCTTTGCGCTTAAAGGACAGTTTAAGCACAATAAAGCTACAATATATTTTGTGGGAGAAACAACCTGACATCTTACTATGATGATTGTAGGCCTCTCTTTTACACTGATCATCCATCTTGATGAAACTTACAATAAAAACTGCCTAGAGTACTAGAATTAACATCTTACTTACTTCTTACTTAATTTAGTAAGAAGTTACAATTATGTCATTGTTATGTTAAAAATATTCTTTAGTTATCTGCATGCTGCAATAGAAAGAAAAATACATATCTGTAAATAAGAGTTAATCAAAGACTGATGCTAATAAGTAAGTGATTATGCATAATCTGTAAATGGAAAAAGTTTGGAACCACCAGGTCTCTTCCTAGAGCTGGCCACCCAGCCGATCTGAGCAATTAGGGTAGAAGGGTCTTAGTCAGGAAGGTGACCAAGAACCCGATGGTCACTCTGACAGAGCTCCAGTGTTGCTCTGTCGAGAGAGGAGAACTTTCCAGTAGGACACCCATTTCAGCACCACTCCAGCAATTAGACAGAAAAAAGGCACAAACGGGCCACCTAGAGTTTGTCAAAAGGCACCCAAAGGACTCTCAGACCACGAGAAACAAAATTCTCTGGCCTGATGAAAAAAATGCCAAGCCTCTTGTGTGTGGAGGAAACCAAGCACGACTCATCAACTGGCCACTACCATCCCTACAGTGAAGCATGGTGGTGGCAACATCATGCTGTTGGGATGTTTTTTGACACCTGGGACTTTTTCGGGGTCAAGGAAATGATGAACGCAGCAATGCACAAAGACATCCTTCATAACCTGCTCCAGAGCATTCTGTACATCTGATTAATCTTCAGATTCATCACATTCATCTTTTAACTGGACAACGACTCCAAGCACACAGCCAAGATAACCACACAGTGGCTTCGTGACCGCTCTAAATGTCCTTGAATGGCCCACCCAGACCCAGACTTGAACCTGATTGTACATCTCTGGAAAGATCTGAAAAACGGCTGTGCACTGACACGCCCCACCTAATCTGATGGCGCTT